TTACGTTGTCGTCGACCCGAAAGGTGTTTTTTTTTTTTTGCCTGATTTGCCGTTTGAGCATTTTCATCTGCATAATTTATTTGCAATCATTGTTATAACTTAGTATCAACTTCTTTTTTTTTAAATTGTCATTGACAATTTAAATTGCCATTGACAACTCCGAAACAGATGAGGACACAGATGGTCACAGAATTACCTTAATTGGATATACTCGGAAGCAGGCCTAAACATAGCAGGGCAAACAGCCTCGAAATAGCGTATTTACTCGAGTAATAGCCGCACTATTTATGAAGAAAACCTGAGGGTTCGTTTTTCCGCGGAGCATCCTGATTGCCAATCACCGCGATCGACAGCATGATTCCAGCTGTTTACAGGACAGAGATAACATCTTCGCGCGAAGATACCATCTGTGAAGTTTGCATTCGTATGGAGGCTCGTGTTCTCGATCTAATTATTTGTGGCGTTGTTTATGCGCAACGCGATGATTGGCTGTATATGTGCTTTGCGGGAAAGTAGAAGCAAGGCTCTGTTCATAAATAGTGTGGCTATTACTCGGGTAAATACGGTAATATAGGGCGAAAAAAGACAAAGTGGTGCCTTTTGAAGCTCTACGAGCGTACGACGACCACCGCGGCGTATGTGTCCTAAACGCCAACTGTGGAAGACCAGTCCGCTCACACGCATCAAGAACAGCCAGAAAAGAAAAAAAAAAGAAATTTAAGCTATTTGGTTGTGACAGGCGTGTAAAAAAAATTAATTTTACGAAGAAAGAAAAAAATTGTTTAAACCAGTATTGACGGCGCGCGACGCGATTTAGTTGGTAGTAACCTCCTGTCCACATGTTTCTTCTCTCGGCATTTCGATCGCGTGTAGGAGAGGTGGATCGACTTCGCCTTCACGTTGAGGTGGAAAGAGCGAATGACCATCTCGTTGAAGTCGAAAGGGCAAATGACCATTCCGTGACGTCATGGACTTTGCACGCAGAATTTCAAACAAATCTCTCGCCGACAGTATTGCTCTAAATAAAGAAAAAAAAAACGTTTTGCGTAAAGTGCGTTTCTTGAGACGCATGTCCCGCCCAGACAGTTTACAATTTTTTTTTCTTTTCAGGAATCGTTTTATTTAGAGCACTGAATAAGTTCCACAAAAAAATGTCCTTCCATTGGGGTGTTTCCGGAGGTTATCAACGAAAAAGCTAATTACACTTGAACCTACCTTCCTGTTTACTCGAGCGGCTCCGAACGGAAGGTAATGAATAAGTTAAACAAGCGCTGGCTTTCTGCTCAATTTGGGGACAACTTCCTTGGAAACTAATAGGGTAGAGGAAACGGCGACCGGCTGGGTGTAAAAACGACAGCACGGACATATCCGTCAAAAGGGGAAGGGACAGGGGGGCGAGGTGTGGAGACACAGCCCAGACGGAATACTCGGAGACATATCGCATGACCACCGACACCCGCAGGTGGTCCCCAGAAGAGAAGAGTGAGCCAAAAAATTCGGTGGAACAGACATTGTTTAAAGCCCCTACAATGGCGGGTGCCGCTTCCTTTATTCTCGGTCTCGTGCTGACTCGTATGTCGTCCCTTCTCGGTCATGGGCTAAATCAGGGAATGTTTTGTTTGTTTAAGGCTTAGCCACGCTTCGTTTTTCTTTTTTTTGCCAGCGAGGAGTTTTGAGATTAATATTTTAAGATGGCAATTTCACCATGTCCGTGGCAGTGGGTTCTAATTTATATAGTAAGAACAATAACTGTAACGTTAAGTTACAGTTACTGTTACAGCAGTTGCAGTTACCCTACAAAAAAGTAACAGTGTAACAGTTACAAATTACCAGTATTAAAGAGTGTCGCGTTGCAGGTAAAAGTTACCGAAAAAAGTAACCAGTTAGCGGTAACGCGTTACTACTAACTAGTTGCTGCCCAAGACTGGTCTCGTTACATAAGCAATTGCACCGAAAGGTATCGATGCAAAATAAGAATAAAATGCATTATACGCACGGCGATTTTCCTAGGTATGAACAAAGTACTGCCTCAAGGTGTTGTAATTTGAATCTTCATTTCTTTTTTGTGAACCCCCAGTTAAAAACATAAAAAAAGTTTTATTGCTTTAGTTCTTCAAGAAACACGGGCAATACGTTTTCTGACGAAGGAAAAACAAACAGGGAAGGTAAGTGGAAGGTAATTCCAAGGTTTCAAGCGGAAAACTGTAATTTAAAACGACAACAAGATTAGCGGAGTTTCTTTTTAAATATATTTTTACAAAACGTTTAATTATTTCGTGTAACCGGTCACGAAGCCGACCGACACGTCTTTGTAAGTGGTAGCCTAAAACTGCACGGGAATAAGTTTCCCAAAAGCTCGAAAGGTTTTAGGTTCTTATTTTTTTCTAGTTTTGTGAGAAACTTAACTTGTAACTTTGTTTTGTTTCACGGGTAGAGAAACGTTGAAGCACCTTGAATGTTTCTTTGGAAAGTGGTTACACAAAACAAATTTACTCGAAGTGCCAGTTAATTTAAGAACCACTCAAGAAACTCAAGCACACAAAACACACACAAAAAAAAAACGCGCTGAGTGAAATTTTTGCCGTTTTCGACTCCTAATACAATGGAAGAGAAATAATTACTGGCGGTCATCATTCAACCCGAGACCAGTGACGGACCAGACAGCTGCACGTTTCTCCGCGAAGCATGCACGTGCGGCGGAGATTACTCCAGACTTCCGCGCTTCCGTGATGGCTGCCCAGCCGCGGCACACGGTATCGACGAGAAGCGCGGAAGCCGATTCGGCGAACCACTTTTGAGAGCCGTTTCGGCCGGACGGCTGATCGAGAGGTGTCATCCAAGAAACCAAACGAAACAAAGATCAATCACTTTGTGGATCTGGGCAAAGCGAAAGACCGGCCGGCCACGATTCGACGTGTAACAATGGCGGCTGCGGTGGCGCCGCTCTTTGCTCTTCGCATGCGCCGGTGGATATTCTGTCCTATTCTTTGTTTCCTTTCGGGATCGTCCCTCCGAGTGCATGGGAAAGCAAATACATACGAGAGAGCAGGAGAGAAACGAACTCGGAAGTGGACTTCCGCTTCATGAACAAAATGAAAGTTTGGGCGATACCATGCAACACGCAACGAAAAATATGTTCCCCAGTGACCTGAAGGGTTATGCAGGAATCTTGCATTTATTTTTAATAACAACCGGAAAAAACCTTCTCTGAAAAGATAATTTGTAATTTTTTCCATCAAACGCATAGATAAGGAAAAACCTGACCCTTCTGCCATCTATCGAGCATTGCACGCCGTGCTGCGTTTCTCTCGGTATAGTTTCTCTTGAATTTCAGGACCTAGGTGACAATTTAAGCCGGGAGATATTACAAACTCTTAGGTTCAAGAAGAGTTTACTTGATGGAACGCTTCTCACTTTAAAACAGTCACTACCGAACATATATTTTAAAAAAAAGGCATAATCAGTTTGAATAAGACATCTGAACATGCATGTCGGAGTTCGGAGTGGTACAGTAGTGTAGAGACGCCCACTTGACACATACTAAGTGTTTTAGCAACGAGTATACGGACTTCGGAATTAAAAACAGCGCGGAAAGACGAGGACCAGACAAAGAGGTGACACGGACGTAGCGCTACGTCCGTGTCACTTCTATGTCTGGACTCGTCTTTCCGCGCTGTTTTTAACTCCGAAGAATGTACCAACTCGCCCAAGCATCAACTTGAGTATACAGAGCTAACGAAGCGGACACCCAGACATTTCTTACGAAAACTAACTATCGCACAAAAACAAATGATGCCGCGTAGGTCACTTCCCAGGAGCTTATTTAGGGAAGTCCTTAGCGTTTACAATAGTTAACTAGTATTACTTTTGCATATAATTTTGTTAGCAATGATAAACGTAAGATTTGCTCAGAATTTTTTAATATTTCGAGTGCAGTGCTTAGGAGTCTTAAGGCGGCTAAAATTGTCAACAGAGGTGAAAAAATTCAGCCAAAATTCGCTCAAAAATGAGAACATGAAAAAAAGAAAGAAAAACGTTTCATGATACCTTTGAAAAACGAGCATAGTTATTCCACGCAAAAATAAAAAAAAATGTGGTGCTTCAAAAGTAGATCCGTGATTTCCGCATTGCAAAAACTTCCGTGTAAATCGTTAAAAAAAAGATATATATATATATATATATATATATATATATATATATGCATATATATGAAAATTTGTTTGCACGTTTGGATTTCCATTAGATTTTTTGCTTGTCTTTCGGATATGTGTTCCAGCATACGTTTGAAAGACCACAAATCAGAAAAAAATGAGAACACGAGCACAGAAAGAAAAAATATCGAATGCATTTACTGCAGGTTCATTGCAAATCTGGTTGCGATAACATATCTTTTTTTGTGGTTGTGGTGCAATAAAGAGCCACACACAGTAAAAATTAAAACAAAAGGCGGAGTGGAAAAAATGGTTTCACCCTCAGGATTTCGTTGTCTGTTCGATTTTCGTACGTGGGTATAATGTACTTTCCTTTACCTTAAGTCCAGGCGCAGCCGACGCTGCGAGCTGATAGGTTCAATCAGACAGCGCCAAGAGTGCACCATCATGTTGTTAGTCATGTTTCTGTACGTGTTCTATCATTGCTGAACCAATCATGTACAGGGAAGACCTAGTTACTTGCGCTTTGTACGCTGCTTGATTCGTCCCATTAAATCCCATCGTCATCTGCGTCTGTACTTCAGCTCAAACGAAGTATAAAATTTATACGCACCGTTCTGGTTTCCGTGTTAAGGCTGGACTCTATGGAGCGAATACGCTGCGAAGAAGCGATCTACTTCGCCCGGCGGCATTGTTAAGCACGATACATCAGAAGAGTGGCTGAGGACCCAAGCGCAAGACAAAGGCGCCACCGTATGAGACTTTCGTCGACCATTCGCATCATATTTGCGCTAAAGAGTCCAGGATTTTGTTGTTGATGTTTGGATCGAACAGAAAACGCACGCTCACCTTCGAGGATCATGCCCATGGCACTGCGGTACTGCGCCAATGAGAGATCCCTGGCTACGACGAGGGTGAGGGGTGCGTGGTCGCCAACGTCTTCGTCGGGATCTTCGTAGAAGACCACAAGCTCGGTGTTGGAGGCGACGGTACGGATGGCTTCGTAGACGGGCTCTCCTTTGACCAGCGAGCCGAGCAGGTTCACCTCGGCGCTGAACTCGGGCGAGTGGCGAACGAAACGAACCCAGTTGCAGTGTCGCACCTGCTTCGTCTTGCCGTGCTGAATCTCGTCGTAGCAGCCAAATCGGTGTCGAATCTGCGAGAAACAAACGGATACTGGTGGTTAGGTTCGATATGAGATAGCGTGCAAGACGGGGAAAAGATATTCAGTGGGTTGTGGTGTAAGCCATTTCAAAGCAAATGTTGCATTTGACACCTTCGGAGGTGGAGATGCACATGATTGCTAATTTCGCGTACGCACCAAGAAAGGCGCACGCTCAGTATATACCGGAAAGCTGCATTTGGTGACACCCAAGATTTAATAAAAAGTACAGTATTTTCCGTACTATAAGTCCGTACCCGGTGCATTGTCCACAGAAAAAATTTGTGGTCAAAAATAAATGTTTTTCTTGCATAGACCGCAGCCGGTGCATACTCCGTGCGCCGTGCACAGTCGACGCGTAGTGCCTCACCCAAACGTAAAACATTATCATTCACATCAACACTTGACAAATGCCTGCTGTTCTAGCTCATAAAGAAGATTTTATCGTGCCTAAATTAACCTTAATATACTACGTTATTCATAAAATCCTTCACATCTTGTCACAGTGAATGGTATAGAAGAAAACAAATCTTTCTGCAGTCCGCACCAGTTGACAGTTCAAATTGGGTAAAGCTTCAACTTTACACATGCATAGAACGCACACATAGTTCGGAAAATACGGTGCTCTTATTTGTCTCATTCAAAACCAACATAATGGTTGTGCGTCTCGGAGAAATATAATTTTCGTCTCTAATTATTAAATAGCGGACATGGCCCCATGTTGGGAACTGAGTATACTGAATGAGAAATATGTGTATATGAAACCCGTAGATTCTGTTAAAACATGTACACATATTATTACATATTCGTTCAGTACACCAGGGAAATTAGAGAATTGTCTTGCTCGTTTTTTTCCGCCGTGCACCTCTCTGAACGCTACAAGTTCCTGAACCGTTACAATACTGCATAAAACCTTAATTTTATTATTTGCATTATTCGCCACCGTGGTGCTGTGTCATCCTTTGAAAAGTAAATATATGTAAGATAAGAATCTCCAAAAAAAACAATTTAGCGAAAAGACATTGCGTTCCATAGAGGCGCACCATCTTTCTTTCAAAATTTATTTTATTCAGTATGTAAGCTCTGTTTCCGAAACTAGAGATACTTCGTGTCCTAATTTTTGAAAATTGGCAATGGCTTGAGTGCTTTTGTGATTTCGAAGAGTCCTGCGGCCTAAATGAGAGCGAGTGGCTTTTAATGTAGGTGACTGGGAACTTGCCCGCACTGGAGGAATCGTTTCCTTATTGCAAAGAGATATATCAATTCTCCAATCTTGAGGTGCGCCAGACACATCAGCTGCTGAAAGTACGTTGCTCCACGAAGGAAAGCAAAAAAACAAAAACAAATAAACCGCAGGATCCGTGAGTTCGTTCGTATGCGTAGATTGAGGTGTGCTTGCGATGGCCAGAGCATTCTAGAGCGTTCTAGAGCGTGAAATGTTTTTCTTCTGCTTCGCCTTTTCCAGCGGGAAACTGTCTCGACCGAGCATTAGAGGATTGTGTGGTCCCGTTTTAAAATGTGTCGGAGATTGTTTTTCATCCTGCTTTTCGGACATTATATTGGTGCAAAAAGCCGGAAGTGGATGTTTGTTTTATTCTTGAAACCCTTTGATGATTCTTATAATGCACAGAACGAAGGAGGACACTTTCATATGGTGTTCGAATGTAAGATAATAGTGACAGTGTGAAAACACGTTTTCTTCATTAGACATTCAGACTTTTATATTGAAAAACATTGATGCCTGGACTTTGTCATCTCCAACTCACAAAAAAAATTGTTTGTTTGTAATTAAAATTTAAAAAAAAAACCCATAGTAAGAAATATGTCTAAGATTTACAGGCATCCAGAACTTATCCTCGATAAAATTACCCCTTGTGCGAACTTAGTCATAATCTCAGAATTTTGGAAACCGGCCCATTCAAAATATAGAAGTTATAAAAAGTCGCGCTCCTTGGGTGATCGGACTCGCTCGCTCTCGTTGATATTAATCTACGCCGCCTTTTAAAACGGACACTCAGCCATTTAATAGAACCTGCATTAGATCTCCCTTCTCTTTAGTGACGGATTTTACGAGAATTTTTGTTTTTAACAAGCACGTAACTTTATCAAATATAATTATAAGGAAATCAACACACCCCATAAGAATTATTCAAATAAAGGCTATACACTGAACGATACTGAACGATTCGAGCGGCCAGTGCCAGATGGACGAAGATGTCGAATTAATCAAAAGCAGGAACTCATACAAGTCATTTCAGAGAACCAACTGCTCGCACAACTACCACGGACGATCTTTATCGTTTCTTCTCACGTCGGAGGTCTCTCCATTGTTACAATAGAGCAACTCCTCGGGGCCCGTCAACGGACAGCGAAAGGAAGCGAGAACAATGGCAAGGAGAAAGAACCATCCGGATATTGATCCTCCGGGAGGAGTCGACTTTCGATTTCGTCAGGAAAGGATCCGACGAACCAGGCGTCGCGACATCGCGTTGGCAACAGAAACGCCTCTACTGCCAAGGCCTCCTCGGAGCCGATGCGCCTCTCTCATCGTCTTCCGATGCCTGGCCGGCTCTTCTCGTCAGTGCGCCCCGTAGATAGAAGCCTCAAGGTCAGATCTTCCCACGAGGGGGGGGGGACGTCTTGAAATGGACGCATGATTCGACCGAGCCCGTACCGACCGAAGGCCCCGGCCTGCTACATTGAACGCGGGCTGCCATAGTGTAATATCAGGGCGCCCAACCTGAGATGACGCTCGCGCTCACGATCCGCTCATCGAAGTTTCTTATTGTTCTCTTGGCCCCCGTTCTGGTGGTGCCGGGAGTCCGTGCAAGACCGAAAACACCGGCGAGCACGAATGCTCGAAAACTAAAAGAAAAAAGGGGGGCAGGCACACGGACACCATCGTCGGTAGCTCCTTCCTCGACCCCAGATGCGCGCCGCGCGGTGAAGAAGAGGCGGGTCGTGTCGAATAAAATGCGGCTACCGAAAGAAAAGACGTGCCCAGAGAGGGCAAAAAAGAGGGAGAGAGACCCGCGAATATAGAGCTTTGAGCGAAGATTCGAGAGTCGTGAGGCATGATCGGCGGGTGCGGATGATGCCATATTGGGCCGGTGCTATCCGCTTCGAGATCAACTTTATGCGCCTAAGAGTATGGTCACGCACGCGGAAGGCAGTTCCGATATTCGCCCCGCGATGTAGTACGTGTACGCGCTCCGCCAACACGGCCGGCCAAAGCCCCGAGGACTATAAAAACGACGCCGTCATTTGGCCCGGCGGACTCGGGACGCTTTGTCGGACCGATTACGACGAAAAGCGAAATTCGTGTCCCGGGGACTCGACGCGATCTGCGAGGCACGACGCGCCCACAGACTTTCCAATAGCGCCTGTTTCGTGGGAATCACGAGTTCGCTTCGCACTGAACGAATTGCCATGGTAACTGGTTCGTGCGGCGGGCTCTTCCCTTTGATCCTTCCCTGTTTTGTTACAGGCCTCTACCACGTGTTCCGGTGTTTGGCAACCTAATTTTGGAGGTATAGTAAGCTATAGGAGAAAGCACTACTTTTTTGGGGGCTGCAGTATTGATCTATAAAAAAAAAAAAAAGAATTCTAAATACGGTGTTATTGGCCTCTAAGTTGGTAGCCTTCCCGCCAAATATTCAGTGTCCAACAGGTACAGAACCAGTATAGTCAACTAGCATGACGTCACAGTAGGAGCGCAAGAATGGCAGCCCATGAACTAAAAACAAGCGCTGTTCTCTGAAACGCATCCAAATTAATCGTTAAATTAAGCCGTTGTCGGGTTTTGCTTGCCTGTCATTCTAGCTATAGTGTACGAATAGACTAGGAACTTTCGAAGTGGATTGAGTTGCGTTACAGACTCTCCTCGATCGGATGGGGCACGCCGAGGGGTGACACCAGAGTTAATTGAAACATTTACAGTAGGGCTGGGAAATTGATCGATTAACTTACCGATTGATCGGTGAAGGATTTCACCGCGATTAATTATTTTAACCGGTTAATCGGTAATATTTTTACGAACCAAAAGAAGGGTAAAGGCATTAACCACGCAGACGGGGACATGTACAGCTGTATGAAGGAACACCTTTCGGTAAACGTTCAACCTAAAGTAAACTGTAGGAGCGAAATTTGTAACACCAGACACGTGCAGAAGTTTGCACGTGTCCCGACCACTTTAGAGCCGTGCGAGTGTCCGTTTGGTTCAGCAGGAACTATTGTGAAGAATAGACCAAAACCGACGCGCCCCATCGCGGCGAAATATCACGCAGTGCACTCTGGGAACTAGTTGGCCACTCAGTTTTGGTTTTGAGTAAGCAGGTTCATCTCATGCTATCACGTCGCGACCGAACGCGCTGATTGCGTTTTCGATTACTTGACTTTTTACGAATGTACAATACACTCATTCTCGAGTGATAGAAAACGAAGACCGGGGCACTTTCCTTGGTTCCCGAAACACCGGGTATTGTGCGTGCGTATGCAAACGTAGTAAGACGTGGCTTAGTCATCTCACCCCACGAGTGCATCTTTGGGCTCAATGCCAGTAATCCCGTCTAGTACCAGTGAACTACAACTGAAATTTGGTCACCTTGAGTCCTACATGTATTTTGTTTTCCAAACGTCCGCTTCTTGCTACTTCATTGGGCGAAAAGCAGGCCGCATCCTCACAGGATTATCGAAGTTGAGCCCAGTGTTGGCGGATGAACTTTTAAGAAAACGACATAAATTCGACCTCACTACTGCACAAACGTTACTACGATGTCTTCCTCGTGTCATCACATATCTCACACTCAAATTTTATGCTGATAGAAGATTAAGTTCTCGCAAACACTGAGATCGGTTTGCTACGACGGAGGCCCTAACAAGCGTCCCCTACTCCTCGGCAAGCCTTTTTAGACGAGCTTTTCCTGACGCCCAAGGTCTATGCCTGAACAGTGTGTCTGAAATTATCTCGGCATACACAGTCAGGAAAAAAGCCA